GGGGGGGGGGGGGGCGATTAAGGAATAAGTATGGTAAACGATGGGAAAGCGCCAATTTCCGTTTTTTTTTTTTCCGCACTTAACTATGATTTGCGCCGCGCTTTGACCGGCTGTTACCCGGTGAAAACGTGGAATGGGAAAATTCGGTTTCAACGTACAATTCTTGACCTGTAAGCTGTCACCGGTGACGAGTGCCGCGGAGGTGAGACTTCCCTCACGAGAAAGTAATAATACTGGCAATCGGTGTTAATCAACCACGAGTACCGACCGCTCAGTACTAAGTACCAATCACTGGTGCTAACTTTCCGTAAGGATTGGCGAACACGAATGTTCTATTTCGCGCCTTCGTCGTTTACCAAATTCAGTCGTCGATTTAAGGGCGCGACGGAAGGGAAACGTTGCACTCGGCGTTGCGTAACAGCTCTTCGCCGGGACTGCTCGTCTTCGCGGACGAGTCGAATCTCCGCTGCGCGAGCCTCCCTCGCGCGCGGTCCCGCGACCTCACTCGGATTTTTGCATAACGCGGTATCGTCCGGCGGGAGGGCGGCCGATAGCGCCGAGGTCTTCACCGGGAGCGAGCGATACGTCTCGCGCGATGTAATTGCGCCGGGGGGAAGATAATTACCGGTAAATAAAAAGGTCGCTCGTTACGCGACCGTAATGCTGATTTCGCGTGCATCCGCGAGGTGCGACGAACGAAGGTCTTCCCTCGCCCGTGAACGCGCGAATTCCCATCCGATTACTTGGGTCCCACGTAGAATCAACGCGCGCTCGTTCAAAGAGGGAGAGATAGAGAAAGAGAATGCGCGACGCACCATGTCCCGCTGATTGCGATTAGTATATTATACTATTCTGGTGCATGACGCGCGCGTTAAACTGCACTCAACGAGACCTCCGGCGGCGATTATCGCGCGCGCGTGCGTTCGCGCCTCGCCGGAGTCTCGCCTTTTCGCCGGCGTAGTTCGCGGCCAGGAGATATATGTAGGTCACTGCCTATGAGGTCGTCAGTAGCGCAGATAGAAGCGGCTTCTTCGGAGGAGGAGAGAGAAAGAGACCGTGCGCACACCGAGCGCGCGTCGTCCTTGAACGTCGTTTAAAATTAGCGCTTCTACGTTACAGTTTCCACGGAGAGGCGTTATATATATACACATACTCCCGTGCATACGAAAGAGAGAGAGAGAGAGAGAGAGAATTGTATTCGCACGGAGATTCGGATGTTTACATTAATTTTAGATATTAAGTGAGCGAACCTCGAGCTCTCCGGATAGCGCGTGATGTCACGTTGATTCCGGGCGAACGTAAGGGATTTGGGATAACGACGAGATCATCCGATTGCTTCTTGGAATCGCGACGAGAAACCATCACGAGATGTGGAACGAGATTCGCGAGGGAAAGAGAGAGAGAGAGAGAGAGAACCGTTCGCGACCAGCCAAAGACGCTCCGCATTAAATTCGTCACGTTCCCTCTGCCGGCGAGCGCAACGTCGGCTGAAACTCACTTCCATCGCTCGGCGGGGGAACAGGGAGTTACTTAAGGGGGAATTCATTTAATTAGCTCCATGATGATGCTAATGAGACTCGTGATTAACCTTCGGTATGCCATCTATTGGCGCGGTCATCGATTGACCCCGGTGGGACCCGATTTTAATCCTGGAGCTTTTCCGTTACGCGACTCGAACTGTTCGTGCAGAGAAAAAAGTGCTGGATTCAAATAAATAATTACTCCGGTGTTCCTTGGCAAATTTTTGATCGGATTAAATATCATTTGAAAATGTATTATTAAAGAGTATGAGTTACATGAATCTCTAGCACTTTTTTTTTCTGTGTATTTCGCGATTTTTATTCTCTGTTAGAAATTTTTCAAAGACATGAGTGAAGATTGACTTGCTTCTTTCCTTTATAAATATAGATTAATCCTTTGATTTAATCGACATTATGGCATCCTCAGAGATAGTTGATCACGAGATTTCGCAGTTTCTATTTTGAATGACTCGAACTATTTGTAAGGACACATATTTTGCGACTTTTACTCTCTCTCTCAGAAATCTTCCGGAAATAAGGAAAGATTTATACATTATTACATTTCCTTATAAAATAGATTAATTCTTTGATTTAATTAACATCACGGACTCGTAAGGGTTCACCATGAGATTCTGGAATTTCCCTTTTAAGCGATTCGAACTATTTGCAAAGACAGATAACTCGGAACTTTTATTCTTCCGTAAAGATCTCCCGTCGAGAAGATAGAAGATTTATTTATCCCTCTCCTTCGTAAAACAGACCAGTCTTTTGATTTAGTCAACGCTATACGGCATCCTGGGAATTCGTCGCGAATCTCAGAATCACGGACTCTGCTGACGGACACGCGCGGCGTTGCGATTTGCTCGTAAGAAACTCGTCGATTCCCGAGAGAACCCGCGAATCAGACGGTGTTCTTCGATTCTGCACCGCGCATACGCACACTCCTCTCTCGCATTCTTCGACTGGAAACATTCACGATTAGCATGACATAACGCGCGCAGTTAATACGCAATTATGCTAACGGTACGCGAAACGTGGGAGGTGAATTTGTGGGCTGACCGTTCATTAGATAATTGTGGCCTACATTCTTGCGGAATGTCTGATAACGCGCCGCAAAGCCGTCAGATCTCTCTCTCTCTCTCTCTCTCAGTCGTACGAAAAATGCGGTACGGTTCGTATGTCGTTCCGTCACGAGCCCGGAGTCGGCATTTCTCACTGAATTACACTCGTTCACCTCTCGGCTCGTAAAACTTATCCAACCGTGACGCCAATTGACCATCAAAGGTATGACGTGATGATTTAACGACGTCCTGTGCCGCCGCTCGTTACCGTGACATCCGAACCCCGCTGCCCAATTTCTGGGAGAAGAACCGACGCCTCACGGACGCTTCCATGAAGTGTAGACGCATCGTATGTCGAAAGGATATTAATTTGAGATGACATCCGAGGCTTCCGCGCGGTGGTAGAGGAGTGATGCGACGGCGAAAACGGTTGCAGTGAAAATTACCGGAAAATTTTGTAACGCCGGACCAAGCCGGAACGGAAATTGTGACGAGTGTTGTGTGATCTTTGGTGATGCGTTTCATTCCACACATCACTGAGGATTGCAAGACACATCGTAACTTCAGTCACGGTCCAGCGTTGTGAAATCTCGTGGTAATTCGTATTGTAAGATTTTCTTCACGGAAGAAACCATTCAGTTTGTGTGGCTGAATTTTCCGTTGTCCGAGGGTCAAACGAGAACTCAGTTAAATAGCGGGAGCAGGAAGATTTTTGTGGGAGATTTTTCCGCTCTCAGTCAATCGCTGTCAGTTGTCTCGACCGAGTCTTAATGCGGCTGAATGTTCAGCACGAATGCTGTCAGTCGCGGTAACGGAGATATCGTACCTCGTCGCCGAGTTTTCACTTTTCGTCATCGAATTTTCATCTGGTTTCTATTCAGTTACGAGAACCAAGATCTTTCTTCCACTATGGAGTTCGTTTCCGGGTCGGAGCCGCGTTTCCTGCGGGTTGTACCGTTTCCAGCGTGTCGTTGCGAACGTATTCGAGAAGCTCGAAGATTTCAGAGAAAGGAGCGACCTGATAAGACCTGATAAAACCTTGAGAAACGTGCGGATCCCACATGTAGGTCAAAGCCGGCGTTAATTGAAAATCTAGTATCAGGCATGTGTTCAAAGAAACGGCCGAGTGACGAGCGACGAGGTGTTCGGGGCTGGGACGGATGGAATTAATTGGATCAAGTTGAGCGGATCGGCCGTAATTCGAGCCACTTGAGGAACGACTTCGTATTCCTAAGGCGCGGCTAATAAGTGACAATGTTATTCTGTAACAGCGATTAGACAAAATTAACAGGAGGGTTCGGGGTATGAAGGAGCTCCGCTCCGGGAAGGAACATCGTCGACGCGACATCGTTTCTCCATTAATTCGACAGACACCAGAGTCTCTCTCACGTTCTCACACAATCACGTAATCGCCAATAGACGACAAATCGGGCACTGACAGAGCCACAACACCCACAGAACCACATCGATCTCGCTTTTTTTTCGGCTTGACTGCAACAATGTACTTGGCAATGGTTTCTCCTTTTATTTGCAGGCTCTCATATACTCATCCCTCCTACTTATATACGCATAAATATTTCCGCATACTTTAGAGGGTATCTTTTGCGACGTTCACATTTCTTGTGCAACTTGAGACGTCTTCTCATCTGAATTCTCAGCGATGCCTTCGCTCTCAAGAGACACGACGCGGCTCACCTGCGTCGATTCATCGCGCGAACACGGCGGTCGCGCGCGCGCGCGCGTGTGTGTGTGTGTGTGTGTGCGCGCGTGTGTCCTCGTCTACGCTTTACTTTATTCGTCCGATATTTACCGCAGGTGAGGATCCGATGCTCAGCGACCAACAGCAGTATCGATACATGACTGTTGACGACATGAAATCCATGGGGGATGACTCGATGCGCGTGAACGTGACGGACGATGAGAGAGACAATCGACATTCCGGAGGTATGTGACCCCATAACCGCATTTTCGTCGCTGCATTATTTGTTTCTACCGAGATCCCGAATGCAGAAGTGTGTCTCTCTGACTCGCGTCAAACTCTGATTAATCCGTACAATCGCTGATTTTTAGTTGCCGTCAATCTCTCCATTATCACTTGCTTCATCATACCGACGGGTAGAAATTAACTCTTTGGGATTCTTTTAATTCGTGCATTATTACTTATCGATTCATTCGATCCGAGTACGGTGAGAGTCGCCCTGGATCGTCGTCAGGCCATCGCTTTCGCGACGGACAATCGCAGGCCGTTAGTTAATACGAGCCGACCTCGGCTCAAATGAATTTGAATTAAATCGTCCGGCCGATTAGATCAGTCGCTGCGTTCTGAAGGCGAGATTATAGCGCGCGGGCGATTTTTCTCCCGCAGCGCCGACCATAACCGAGATGATCACGAAGGAGAACTACCAGCGTACGACCGCGGCGAATCTCAAGCCGGACAACGTGGACATCAACAGGCATCCAGTGCACGTCGGGTACGTAGTATTCCACGTTTCCACGGTTCTGTCATTGAAAACTTGAGACTCGGGAAATATCTCGCGGAATGACGATGAGTCGACTCTCAAAACTCTTTTCGCCCATCACCGCGACCCCCTCGATGCTGCGTCGAGGAGGGAGGATCGTCCGCGCCGAATTGTACACGCGATCATTTGCCTTCGAGATCTCGAGATACGAATCTAGAAAGGTGCACACTCCTTCCCGCGTCTCGGACGAGTCGGAAAGTGTCGTTAACTCTTCCAGTACCTCTCAAATGTGTACCGATCGGGATGTCGCCGGGGTCGGGAACTCGAGAGTAAACGATTCGCTCGCGGATCAATGACAGTAGAAGAGAGAAACCGCCGCGGTCCGGTAGAGTCGAAATCGAGCCACCGGGAAAATTGTCGAGGCTCAAAACAATCTGAGATACAGTCGGTCTCGAATGTCTTTTATCTCGTTCCCCTCGAGAGAGCCTCTTTGTCAAACATACGATATATATCGACGTGACGAAATTTTCCTATGAGCTTGGCACGCAGCAACTTTTGTCTATTGTAAAGCGCGGGAGGATCTCACTCGAGCCAATGAGGAGAGACACGCCGTGTAGTAACGAGATATCCAGATATTTATTTACGCGAGCAATGCGATCCGTGATATTACACGCGGCCTTGTATCCCGGTGTACATTACGCGATTGGCACTGTATTAATACTGCGAAACAATAATGATGTGTATTATAGTGTGATACAGTGTGTGTTGGTGAAAGTTGCCCGCTGTGATTAACCCTGCGGACGGATTGGCTGCTGCGAAAATTATTTCGCCGATTTCCTCGCGTCGGTTCTAATCCTCGGGAATGCCCGGCGAGCGCATCGCGATGCCGAATCCGGTCCTCCGAGGTCGAACGCGCTGGATTGATCGCGTAAACAAATTAACGTATCCGAGGGTGCGCGTCGACGTACACGAGTATCGGTCCAACGACGGAAACGTCTGTACAGCTCGCGTGGAAAATCTTTCGGGATCTAAATCGGGATCCAATTCGATTTCCCAAATTAATCGTGGATTCTGGTTAGAAGTGGGGAAACACTAAACAGATTCTATTATTCATTCGGTCCCACCCCAACGTTTCTTCAAAGATTTTTACCACTTTCCCGTTTACACTTTGCTCGTAACAATATAAGGTAAAAAATAGTATACAGTATACAAATAGTGGCTCCGGTGATGAGATATACGCCGGGTATACATGAGCAAGCATAATAATATTCCAACCTAACCTGATCTTTAACGTTTTCTTAGATTTGTCGGAATTTTTCCGTCGCATGTGCGTAATGTCTATGCAGATTTCTGCATCACCAATGTGAAAGTTGTTGTGCAAGAAAATAGCGACCAGACTTCGGGACCTGACAGAACCCCAATTAGATCCCAAGATATTTTCTGTGCGAGAAACGGAAAACCGATGTTCGGGACGGGATTCCCAATTGGTATTGCGATCGGACAACCCATTTCGGGGCAACTTTGAGCATTTCCTAATCGGAATCTATACTGTAAGTGGGGAAGTCTGGGGAAATTTCCAAGGGGGGGGGNGGGGGGGGGGGGAGGGGACTGACGCGCGAAAAGGATAACGTCGATAGCGCGAAATTTCCGTCGAGATAGCCGAGGAAGTTCGGGAGACGTAATCATTCCTGTCACACCTTAACACGTTGAACGTCACTCGTGACTGGCGCTCCGTGCGACATTACCGCGTCTTAATTGCACGGGAAAACAATCGCATTGCGCGACTGAATTGCCTGGGAGGAACGGAAACCAGACGAAAAATTCGCTTGTGGAAACAAGGAGATTCAGTTGCGAGTCAAGGAGATTCGGTTGCATTGAAACTCCGTTGAAATAACTTGGAGCAATTAACTGTGCAATTAACTGAGTAGAAGTCTCCTGCCAGGAATCTTCTCTTCTCGCAACCGAGTTTCCATCTGATCCCTCGGGCAACGGAAAATTCAGTTACACTAAATTGCCTTACGGCCGACTGTTCGGACGAATGTTTTCGAACGCGATAACAGAAATATATGACATCTCGTTATCGATTTTTCCATCTGGCCCCCCATTCAGTCACACTGGGATTATTTCATGCACAAAGTATAATTAACTGCATCTGAAAAACCAATTGTACGATAAGGAACCGATGAAATGAGGTGGAAAATATATAAGTCCCGCACTGATTTATCTTTGGTGGCTCAATGATGAGCCAAGCTTTTTCGCACGCGGCCAGTCAGTGTGTTAAATTTCGCACGGACGGCACACGTAAAAGATAGAATTGGACCGAGACGTGTTAAGGTTCGAGACGTAACAAAATCATACGAGACCACAACACGACGACATAGTGACCGAGACGCTATCAATCCGTCACAGCCGTAACGTCGCTCACGACGAGTCTCGGTCACCAGTTTCTCTTACCTCGAGGTAGCTCGCTCGACAAGACTCGTGCGATTTACCTTTCTATACAGTCATTCAGCCAGCTCAGACAAGGAACGCTTGGTGTTCTCGTTGCCAGCCTGCTTGCTCGTAGCGGAGTTCGATTTGACTAGTTTTCTTCAGCATGCCGTTTTTCTTTTTTCCTCCCACCTGTCCACCCTGGATGAACGATTCTTTGGCAGCGTGTGAGTGATTTCATGACGATCGCTGCGAACTAACCAAACTCGCGACCGATCCGAGCTCGTCGCCCGCTCGTTCGCGAGTCTCCCCTCCATCCCTCCCCGTAGACGGTCTTGAGCATCGTAACCACGTTAGTCCACCCCCCGTGTTTATCGCGATCTAACCGACTGATCCGCCGTTGCACGTGTGGCACGTGGGACTACGCCGGCGAACGTATGCGAGAATGCGACGTGGTCGCGACCGTGGAGAAAGTTGCGATTTGTACGCGCGAGAGACAGCATGAGCATGACGCGCGCGACACCACGATGGATAATCAAAGTCGATTCTGTTCTTCCGAGATTAGCGCGTCCCTAGAGTCCCTATGCACTTCGCTGGCAGCCCTCAGTACCGCGCCGAAGGGACAAGGAATGTGGAGGGACAGGTACACCAATATCCTTTTTACGTTATCTTCCTTCTTCTTCGTCTCTGTCTAGCGCCGATCACGACGACCGACGAGAGAGTCCTCGTCTCGTTTACCGCCACTTCTGTGTACGCGCGAATCACACCGCCGATAATGCCCCGGTTCTCCGGATCGAATCTTCACGATAGGGAGATACCGCGAAAAGCGTCCGAAAAGTGAAAAGTATTTACTCGGTGGCTACTAATAACATATATTTCCTCTTATACTACTTATACACCGAGGGGAGAAAGTATCTAAAAACGAACGAATGTTTCTTTGGTCCTTACACGATATTTACTTGAATCCTTAAATTTCCTTTAACCCTTAAATGCATGAATTTTTTTTTATTACTGAATTATTTTTTTTTTTTTTAGGTTCATAGGTAGTCCCAGAAAATGAGAAAAATATTTTAAAAAATCTGAGGCATATGTTGAGCATTGCCTTTGTGCCTTTTGGATTGTATATTTCGTTCTAAGGAAGAATTTGGTCTTCCACGTTTAGGTGTGCCTTTAATCTCGACAAAAAGGAAAAATAAATATGTTGCAAATTTGCAACACTATGCATTTAAGGGTTAAACCAAGTATAATGTTTACTCGATTTAAATCAAGTGAATTTAGATCCATGAATGTCCGTGAATGATCCGTGAATGTCGTGTAAAGACCCCACCGAAGGAATACCCGTTTGCTTTTAGATCTTCTTCGTCTCTCAGTGTAAACATATAACGTATTTAATTGTACTAATATACATGTTTTTATGTTGAGAAACAATTTTCTCCTCCAAATGAGAGAAAATATGCATTCCCTCAGAATCGTAATTTTTCACTAAAAAAGAGCAGTTGTTTGTTTTATTTAAATAGATGGATTTAGATTTAAGTAAATATGTCGTTGGCACCCACCGAATGAATATTTCTTAATTTCTAGATATTTCTCCCCTCAGTGTAGACGAAGACTGAGCTTGTGGGAGAGAAAGAGAAGGAAAGAATCGTTCGTCCAACGAATTGTTGACTGGTAGAATGTAGGGGATTTTTCAACATTTGCAACAGCTGCTGCTATATCGTGGATGTTTTCTTTTCTCTTATGATTCATTTGAGTTGAGCTATTTCGCGCGGATGCGACGGAATCTGTTGCGCTCTCCGTCCATGTTTCTTCTACCACCCGTGAATCATCCTTGACGAATCGGCCTATCCGCATCTCTTCGCGAGAATTGAATGGAGATTAAAAGAGAGGGGGAGGGGAGAAATTGGAACGATTCAATTATCAATTCAATTATCAAAAATTATCAATGACGCCACACGCAATTGATCTCGATGTTTGAGAACCACCAACAGATTTCGGCGCGTCGTTATTTTGAGTTCCCCCCCCCCCCCCNAGAGTGTGAATGGTGTGTGTTTATATCTCGTTGCGTCTCTACTATAATACATGATTATTATTGTTACTTCTCGTTTCGTAGTCGTGTACAATAGAAAAGTGGCTTGCGTGTGATGAGTGCGGGTTTTCGAAGTGGTCAGCGACGAACATCATCACAACGGCGCGAGCGCCGCGTCTCTTGGAAGCGCGAGGAAATTGAAAAGAGGACGTTGAAAAGAGAGAGAGAAAAAAAAGAAGAAAAAAAACGGGAAGAAATTACACATCGTGCTGATTATGAATCCGATACGTTCGAAAATCTGTAAAGATACGCTGGTATACTAACGATACATATATATATATATACACGTATGTATATATGTATATATATATGTATGTATATATATATACATACACATATATATCACAGTCTCATCTCTCTCTATTTCGTCATCTCATCATTACCATGTTTATGAACGAATGGATACTAACGCGTTTTTTATTTTGTTCCCGATCCTCTCTGTTATTTTATTTGCGCTACTCGCAGAATTCCACAGTGGAGAAAGTAAGTGATCTTCTCTTCAATCTCTTAGCTTCTCTGCCCTTTGCCGTACACATATATATGTATACATACACACACATACATGTTTATCACGTCCCCTCGTTATATTATATTTTCTCTCGATTATTCATTCCTTCGTCGTACACACAGCCTATCTGTCGCCGCACCACGCAGCCCCCGTAGCCCCGCTGAATCGTCTTACTCCTAGAAGCATCATCGTAATCGCTCAGTGAATACACAGTCTGTCTGACGATCGTTCGAGAAGATCAGTCAGAAGTGTCCGTACGATCTTTCTCTCTCTATCGAAAGAAAGAGAGAGAGAGAGAGAGAGAGAGAGAGCACTAAACTTATCGCGAGAAGTACGATTAAATGACAAATGACGAAGATTTCCCGGCCATTTTCCAGACTAAGATTCGATTATCCGGTAGCCTTAACGCGTAACCGTCAGCTTCGTCAACGAGAATTCGAGAGGGACGAATTCCGCTCCGTCAGGCGCTCCTCTCTCTCTCTCTCTCTCGACGGCCACGCACTCGACCAGCGTCGTAATGACTGCACGTCGGTCAATAATATCTCGCTGTTTAACTTGAAAGACGTCCTTGTCGGATTCCCAGCCTCTGTACTCACTGTGCGTGTACACGAGCGTTACACAATTTCTTTGTGAATAATTAATAGACTCGCCAGTGGAACTCTCTGCAGCGCCTAGCTCTCTCTCTCTCTCTCTCTCTCTCTCGCACCGCCACCGCCAGTGTGTGTATGTGTGTGTATGCGTGTGTGGCACAGCCGAGACGAGGGCGACTTTGAATGAACCCCGTTCATTTGAATCGAATTAGACGATACTTTCATTGCGTTCGCGATGTACATTAGTTTCGCGCTTGCGGCTAGAGTTACACGCCCGTCCAATAGACGCCTCGAATGAACTCGCATACACACGCACATATACACTGAGAAACCCATTTAGTGACTCAAGCCTGGTTCTTGTTTGGACACGGGCAAACAATTCGCTTGTGAGAGCCGAGGTTCAATTTTCTGAAAAGAAAATGAAAAGGTTCGGTTCCGAGGACCAAACTTGGATTCTTATGACCAAAATATTTTTACTTTGCTCAACAAACAAGAATTTCGTTTGAGTCAACCGGGTATCTCAAAGTATAACCTAGTAGGCAAATTGATCGCAAAACTGTGCGCAGATTGAATCGGCAAATTTGATCGGGATCACCAAAACCAAAATAGCCACTCGTGTCGTCTGTATTCGGTTCGTGTTTTACCGATGGAGCCTGCGGACAGGCAGATTGATCCGAACAGATTGGCGGCGGAAACTGATCGGATCCTGCCGCTAATCTGCTCGAGCTGCCCGTCGGCAGACTCGGTCGCGTTTCTGCCAGCAGTTCGGCAATATGATTTGATAGAACCGGATATCCTGTGTGAGGTTTGGTGCCCTTTCAGCCATTAAAAATTTGTGGCAGGCTCTGCTCAAAATCTGTTTGCACAGATTTGACTATCTGAGTATACATACACACATATATATAGAAGTATATTTATATATATTTATATATATATTTTTTAGATTTATATATAAACTTATACATGTCTTTATATATTTATATATACATATAGATTTTATATAAACTTATAGGTAGCTGTTTTTTATTTATGTTTTATTTTGCCACACACATATATATATATATACATATGTATACACACACACACACACACCCACAAACATACCTCGTACTACGCTCATTGTCGTAACGTCATTGTCTTATATCCGATTACACAGCGTGAATAATTACATCTGCGCACAATAATTCAGTGTCGACGCGTTCAAGCGTAATCATCGAGTTACTCGTCTCGCTTCAGAAGGAACCATACGTCATACGTCGCAGCTAACGACGCCACCCGTTATTAACGCGCGCGACATAAACGCGCATTGTCCGGATTTGAGACTGCTAACAAAAAAACCCTCCACAGACTCGCCGTAATCTTCCGACGTCATTGCGCTTGTTACGATCTACTCGAGAATTGTTGCTTCTTCGCTTCCGCAGCTCTCTAAAACTCTAGTAGTGCTAGATCAAGTGAAATTCGCGCCGATCTCTGTCCGTCCAATGCATCGTGAACTGAAATTAATGTTGAAGTATATTGAGACTTATTTGTATTATAGAGATAGAATATTATAAAGATATCCTTATATTATCACACGCGGTATTCACACTTATTGCGAATTTCGTGAGAATCTTTGCAAATTTTTCCACGTTTTCTTTGATGTTTTTTTTTTCTAATACTACATATCGGCCACCGCGAGATCTTCCAACATTGCAATATGTGCAACAAGTACAAGTCACTTTTTGTGTCATCGTGTGTGGTAAAATCACTGCAAGTCGCCGTAGAGATTTGAAAGCCGGCGATGATGTCCCCATTTTATTTTTGTATTTTGTAAACCTTGGACAGCGCATTTATATATATATATATGCATTTATATATATATATATA